TGATATAGATTGACGGTAACAAGCGTGTAAAAAGATTTCAACAAATTATGTACAAGGAAAATAAAATAGTTGAAGCACACATGTATCAGCAAATTTGTAAATCAAGGAGGGTAGTCAAAAAAACTGACTAAATAAACACATGGCAGAAATTTTTTTTTTTAAAGTTTCAGGTGAGAAATTCAATAAATAAAGGGGTAGCACCAAAATTTAAACACAGGGAAAAAAATAAATTCTGTGTAGATATTCTCAGGAGGGTAGGTCAAACTGAACTAAATAATACTGGAGAAAATTGCAAACAAATCAGGTGGGTAAGTTCAAAATTAACATAAATAATAAGGGATTGTTTACTTAATATCTAAAATTAAATCGAAGTGAAAGTAGATATGCACTTCCGGTGGACTACTGCACTTCCGGTCTGCAATATGAAATTTCTAAAGTATAAATATGTACAAAACTACTATCAATATATTCAAACTAAAGCTCTCTGAAAAGTAAAATAATTATTTAGAATTTACTGCGTTGTACTGCGATGCCCTGAAAGAGAATGCTGAAATAAAATTTAAAGATAACTGGACGGCTGGAAAACAAATTGTCTGAAAACAAATTCGAAGATTATTCCAGTACAAAAACAGCTGATTCCAAACTACGTAACTTTCAAAGTATTTTATTCAACAATTTACCTGAAAAATCCGCTGCTGCTCCGCTATTACTGGACAAAAGTAAATAATTAACTACTTAACTAAATAAATGAAGAAATGAGCGAATACTAAATAAATAAAGCTAAACTAAACAAATTTAAGGCAAAACCCAAAATCGAGTGTTTACAAAAACAAAACTTCCGGTATCGCAAAAATCGGAATATCGAGCTCGATCGAAAATAAACGCAAAGGCTATCTGTAAACAGAAAGTAGAAAAAAACGAACCTGACGGATTTACGAAAGAAAACAAAACGGAAAACTGAAAACAAGAGATATGTACTGTACTACACTAAAGGTTCTCAATTGATTAATCTGAATTTAAATGGAATGTAAAGGGAAAACTATGGGTAAGGGGGTTTAAAACACAAACTTTTTACAACTATAAAATAACAACCCAATCAACCAACCAAAATCTGCTCCTTCAATAAAACAACCTTACAACTTACAACTTTATCTAAAAATTATTTACCTGTAAACTGTCTGGTTTGTCTTGCTGTCTTATATGGGTCAAAGTGATAGATAATTAGTACCTACTCCATGATGTTAATATGGGTACCAAGGAATTTGGATAAAGTGCAATTCAGGTGATCTCTTATATTCTGCGCTCACTTACGGCTATCCTGTACTAAGATCTAATAATATGGCACTTTATGAATAATCAAATAATAAAATGTTCTAATTAATATGTAAAATAATCTGGGTACCCAATGTTCAACAGAATATAACCTTGGTAACTAACAATGAAAAATCCTAAAAATACAGCTTATACCTTTCAAAAACTTGACAGACAAAAATTCTAATCTACAGGTATATACATGACTTACCGATCAGCTGATCCTTATAAGTTAAACCAATCAGAATATTATAAATACACAAATCAAATTAACACAAATATATACACATTCAAATGTCTGTGAGCTCACCGGGTCCTGTGCACGAGTAGGCCTGCAGGTCACGATCACGGTTGTAGCACTACGCAGATTGGTGGTGGATCCAAAAGTTCAGATACACATGAAGTTATACGGATAATCAGTTCATGGCCATAGGACGTACATCACAGGGTAAAAATGGTGAGAATCTTCTCCAAGGTACTCAGGAATTCCTCTGGCATTGTCTTGTCCCACGTTGGGCGCCAAATGTAACAGGCTTGGGGGTTGTTAAGTGAAGTACATATAACTGCCTGTTGAGGGTTCTGACAAGACTTTATTACCAGATATGAATTAAACCCTGCAATATTAACAATATAACAAGTGTAAATATTTAAGCATAAAAACACAATGATTGTCAAGGGAGATAATCCACTACACATAGAATATACATATATTTCTCCGCAATTATAGCACAATCAATATTCATCATAAAACTTTACAATAATTATCATTATAATGTATTTGAACATTATATATTACTGAATAAGGATAAAACTATGTGCATACCATTCTATGGGAATAGGTGTGTACAGCATGCGCAGCAATGCTGCATATACAAATCATACAGCCTGAGTGGTCTGTAAACAATTGCACAATATATTACACACTAAATCATAAAAATATATAATACCTAAAAAATATATAACAATGAGATCTTTCTATTACTTCATACTTTAAAAATATCATTCTCACTGATCTCATTTACTATGGGAAAGTGCTTAAAGGAAATAGATCAAGAATGCAAAATTACTGATTGGACATTTAATTGAAATATAAGAATCATATTAATATTAGTAATAAATTGTTAACTTACCAGAAGGAGAAGAAAGTCAGTCTCTATGATAAGGTCTAATTGTCAAATGTCAGATCAACATAAACACCTCTACCCTGACCAACCTCTGGACAAAGAATGTCCAGAAAACCAAGAACCTTCTGGAGGGAAAAACATGAACCAATCCCCAAGTAAAACACAAAGTAAAACACCAATGAAATTAAAAGAAACATCCAACATTAGGCCTGGATATAATTAATGACCTAAGGCCATTTCTACCTATATACACCTTTGACAGACATTGGTGAATGCACACTAAAGGCTTTAAACTGAATAATTATATTATTCAACATGTGCATTTTAAATCAAATTAAATATAATAAATCATAATTACCATACATGTATATAATAAATACATGTTTGCATAGAAAATTAATAAAATATGTATCTGCCACAATATTATCTCTTCAATAGGTTCATCTTAGAAAAATATATGCAAATGTTACTTGTAAAATAGACTGATGATTTAATTTACTTGTAACAGGGCAATTGATTGGGTAAAAGATTTTATCCATTTTGTATAACCTTATAACTTGCCTACGGCATGATGAGTTACTCTAAAAAACGTATTACTCCGCTTAACATTACTTTTAAATTTTAATCAATTTGAAGCCTAATTCTTTGGGAAAATGTCTCATTGTCTACAATGAAATTCAATTATAAGGAATGAAGCTACTTTCATTTTATATTAAGTTATGTTATATTGTATAATTTGAAATAAGCTTCATTCCTTAAATAAAGAAAATTCCATCCACAACTATGAATTAATCGCCATTCCTTTGAATAATTAAATGAAATATTTACAAAGATGCATTCTTTAATTTAAATCTCACCCACAGGTAGACTTAAAACACTTTTTATGATTAATTTTAATTTTTTTAAGTATAGATATCAAACAAAAATGAAAACAAATTACCTAATTTGTTTAAACTTAACGTGTTGTTGGTATCCTATAAAGTGCTGCTCTGGAAATAAACTCAAGTGTACAAAGAAATAGTGCTGTGTTAGCTTGAGTTGTATGTTCATTTTCACATCAGCACAAAAAGTTAATTTGTCAATCTAATTAAAATTTGATGTGAGATCCAGTCGCATACTCGCTATACTAACATCAAACAACATCCCATATAGTCACGTCAGAGGTCTATTCGGAATAACCCTAGACTTATTCGCTTCGATTTCATCAACAAATATACAATGATTTTGCAGGCGACAATTTGATTGGTTGATAGAATTTGACATCTGACGTGACCTTCTATGGGCTGTTGTTAGATGTAAGTGAAGCGAGTATGCGAGAAGGGTGTAACATCTAATTTTATTTAGATTAGTTAATTTGTATACATAAAACATACAGAGATAACAAACAGGTTCATAAAACAAAACAAACAGAGTAGAGCAAATGCAGACCTTCAAAACATCGGGAGATGGCATCAGGTACTACGGATGAAGAGCATCTCCTGTCGAAAAGTCACACCCGCCGTGTGTTCCTTGCCATAATTGGGAAAGAACGGAAAAATCCGTTGTCATTTCAGTGTAAATATTGGACTAACAATTAGTTTGAAAAACGTAAGTCAGCAGTTGACTCAATGATAAATTGTGTTAACTGAAATGGTCATTGTATCGACCATAGAACGTATGAAATGAGGACTTTGAACCAAACTACGGTATATCTTTATATTTCATTAATTCGGATGCCGTATAGGCGTTCTCAAATTATTAAGCCATTTTGTACACGGAATTAACGTAGATTTTTCCGATTGCCTAAGCATCAAGAATGTCAAATCGACAGGGGATACCTTCTCCTTCATTGCATCTAATCCAATGTCTGACGTGTTAAGAGATCTATTTCCTCTCTGCGTTGAATTTGTACCATTCCCGTGCACATACTGTCTTGGTCAATCACAACGGAATTGGAAAAGATATAGAATTGCGCTGGGTTGTACGTATACATAGGTGTGGATGGGTAAGTTTCTCCTTGTTTGCGAAAAAGAAATGATGTACATTGCAGCGTGATCCTTGTCGAATGTCGCTTTGTTCTTATACTATTATGGGTTTTTTGCGGGGAATGCTTTGCTTTGCAATGCATTTCTTTATTTACCAGAATTGTGGTACAAAGAAGTTTTGCATACATACTTTTTTGTTTGGCAGCACCCTGCACCGTGATTGAATCGATCATACTATTTATTGTTTAGCACACTGAAAACATATATTTTCTCCATGCAGAGTATTAGTCGGTACATAGTCAATGTTGAATTCTTTCATGGTTTTCTTCCCGGGCAAAAACTCTCAATACAGATACCAAAGTTGGAGGTTATATTATGAAGATTATAGTTGTCATTGATTTTAGGAACAGAATGTTTCTGTATAACACTTAAATACGTCTATAAATAAGGCAAAACCGTTGTCAGTCTTCATTTACGTTTACTTAGTATGGTACTCCTTTATTTTATTTAACTATTGTATTCTTAATCATAATGTCTAGGTGAATGATGAAATCAGTCCTTGTATCTTAATTTGTTCTGGATTGAATACTATTTTTTTCAGGGTATGTCGTGGTTATCATAAACAGCAAATTTGTTGCGGACGTGGGCGATCTTCCTACCGGCAATGAAATCGGTAAGATTACATAGTCAAAGTGGAAATCGCTTTGATCAGAGAGTGACAGAGAAAGCATTTTAAAAATTGAAGTTAGAATTGTTCTTGGGTCATTTGAAAGGTTCTGAGAACGTTTACCGGAACTTATTGCATTTGATTGCATTGGAAAGACAAGTATGCACATATTGTGACGTCAGTTTGTACTTCGTATGACGTCAGGATCGCCTTTGTTTAGCATACTTTTACTGACCAAAACAAATGTCGAAACAAGAGGTACATTTTTCAGCAATTTAAAATGTGAAAGTCAACTTTTGCTGAATTCTCGGATTCAAGGTAATAGACACAAAAGCCAATTGGGAGATTTTTTTTACATAGACTACAGTCTGTGTGTTTTGACCAATATTGAAGAAAGGAAGAAAGTTAAACAGAAGTTATGTTTAGAATGCCCCATATATTCTCGTAAAAATGACGACAGCGTAGCCGTAACCCACTGTAACTCAAAATATTCGACAAATTTCACCCCTGCAAAATAAATGATATTGTATATTGAAGAGCTTAAACCTAGAGCACTTTATGACAGCAATGACCCAAGCGTTAAGCATGTTTACTGGCGAAGGAGCCTAGAAAATTGCCGATTTTTTTTCTATAATGTTATTTTAAAGATAACTTTTTATAGAAGAGCACTTACTGTATTTAGCGAATTCCAATCCAAATTCGAACCTGTAAATCGAGAGGAAATACTCAACCTCAAATTTATTTGAAATAAAATAATATTCACAATGGGAACCACTATATGTGACATCATTTATTAAAAGTGCCTTTTTGAAAATCAGAGACATTTGGAACGATGACGGCAACTGTTTTAGATACAATAGCATTATATTCAACAAATTGGTATACAAAAGTCGATAGGTATTTGAATATACTAAAATAAAAGCTGCTATAACCAAATCATATTATAAAATACTGAAAGGACAAAGTTTGGTCTATAATATTGAATCAAAAATACTTCATAAATTTGAAAATATTTTTTATAAGAACTACTAGTAAAGTAGTAAATAATGAAGATGTTAGATTAAAATGCATAGAAAACATCCTAAATAAGAAAACAGTACCAAAATGAAAAGAAAAATGGGAAAAATATTAAAATTAACATACAGTGGAATTTAGATTTGGAAAACATAACAAGAGTAAAGATAAAATATTAAACTCAAGAATTTCAAGGAAAGGGATCCATAATATCTTGTACACTAAAAAAAAATTCCGTAAAATTTAAATGTCTTGAAAATTCTTTCTTGACTGGTAACCTAAATTTTGATCCGTACCAAGCTTCAACACAAGTAGTTTAAAAAAGGATTACTGCACTTAACGCCCGTTTTGGGGTCTTTTTCAATCTCTGTTGTCACATTTAATTTTGTTTTTATTTTTGCCTTAAGTCATTTGTTATAAATTTTGGTCTATTTCAAAATGAAATTCAATGTCATAATGGTTATAAACTGCGTTGCTATAAAATAATTCGTTGATTTTTTACCCTACCTCTCTGCAAATATCGGGAAATTAGACTTATCTGCCCTTAATTGAAGATAAGATTGATAAATATGCATTAGAGGTGGATCTGTTATTGTAATGAGTGGTCTAAAATTAGAATATTAATTTCTGTATTTATATTTGGTGCATTCTCTCTCTCTCTCCATATGTTTGTCACTATTAATTTTGGAGTTTTCAAATGAAGTATATAACTAATAAAGTATAACATCGACCGGTAGAAGTTGCTATTGATAATCAACAGCAATGGCCCATGTCATCAATTCGCGTTTTAGAATATAAATACCGACTAGCTCAGTCGGTAATGCACAGAATCAATAATATTGAGATCCGGGAGACCCGATAACTACAATAAGCATACTATTATTTTAATATTTTTAAATAACTACTTTATTTTTCCTTTTTATGAAAAAATAAAAAAGAAAAACATCACAATTACTTATGTTTTTTTGTGTGTTTTTTATATAATTACTTTTTCCCATAAATTAGCGTGCTGAGTATTTACTGGATGTTGTTTTTGATGTTCATGTTAAGCAATGGTTCAAAACATAATAAATAAATCACTTTTTTTTCTTGTAGACTACGAACATGTAGAGACATTTAAATAAACACAATAAAATTAACCTTAGATAGTGAAAGCCAATGCCAATTTCATGAAATATGTTTGTTTGTTTCTTTGTTGTTTAACATTCCTCTCGTGGATTTGTGCAATAAGAGAACTTTTTCGTGCCACCAGCTACTGCGACACGGGACCTCGATTATTATAGAGTTACAGCACATCATTGAGGGAGTTAGCAAGATTCCAGTCCCCAAGACCAGGACTATTTCCCGAGGTGCAGCGCGGGGATATGGAATCTTGCTAACTCCCTCAATGATATTCTATAGCTGTTTTATTATACCGATACAAATTTAACTTGTAAAGATCACCTTTTTTTAAGATATTCATTTACGGATTATTACTCGTCGTAAATACATAATTAGAAGACAGTTATTCCCTAATTCTAATGCAACTATTGTATTCTGTTGTTTACGTCCTATTTTGTTATACGAAATACGTCACGAAGCATTGTTTTTGTGTTGTTCTATTATGGCATCACAAGGAAAAGCTATATAACCACGAATTAGCATGACTAGCTTTCGACCGAGGGATTAGCTCCAAAAACTAACGCACGGCGATTAGCCGATTTTTTAGCGATTTCTAGGGAATTGTTCAAATCTAATCACTTAATTTTATATAGGGAAAAATTAGTAGAGGTATAATAAACGGTCTTATTCGAAAGGGTCCTTACGTCGCGACTCTGTCACGGTGGCGAACATTTCCACATGCATGTATGCCATAAAGGGTACACACAGGCGGAAACTTTAATTAAAACATTTTCTGTATGTTGTTTTCATATATCTGAAAAGCAACTTACTCTTTTGGAATTGGTCAAAGTATAATTTGAAATACGAACAAAGAAGAAAAAGGGGAATACGCATTAACTGATAATAGTCTAAACATGAAAGAGTTAAAATAGAAAGAGTTGAAATTATGCCGATGTGTCGACCATGTCTGCACAATCAAGAACATTATCTGGCATAATCTAAGCACATTTATCACCAGAAGCATTATGTCTTTGTACGCCGATGTACCAAACAACTGAGGCGACTTGGGCACATGTGTCAACTAAACGTGCTCCCGATCTGCAATGGCAATACCAAACTTTAACAGGATCTTCTAAAAGACATATCTAAAATATCAAACTGAATCCATCAATAATATGACTTTGATGACATGTGGCGTGACTGATTTTTAGCTTGGATGATGTCCGGCATATCTTTGCCCACAAAAATGTCGTAACTACCATCTCCGTCAATATGTTCCAATGAATAAGAAGACGCCTGCTTAAGCTGATAAATACCAAAAGTTAAGGTACGTAGATACTCACCTGAAAGACGTGGGAAATCAGTCAGTGCATCATCAGCATCAATTCTTGTCATTTTGACAGCGACCCTTCTACCCGTATCTTTTATAAAACGTTCTTTTAAGGGATTGACCGTAATTTTCAATCTTTCGAGCATACGTTTAGCTATTGTTTCGCCTGTAGAGGAATCTAAAGGAGGTCTAAAAGCATTGATCAAGGATGCTACTATCCGAGAATAGTCACCAATAAAAGGAATATGTGTATTAGTGACTATGTTTGCCAAAAACTGCCACCTTTTTAATCGGCCGTTCGCAGACTCAACTGCCCATATTATCTTATTTACAAGACGCGACAAGTTGGCTTCTTGAACCGTATGCTGTTTTCCCCCTTTCCCCAAAAATATGGACATTCTGACTGCAGTCCCACTGATTTTATTAAATCAAGAGAATCCCTGAACCCCTTATCCAAAACTAAGATATCGGGGTTTTTTTGCCCAGTTAAACAGTCCATTGCCCTCCCCAAAATGTTTATTTAATATATCAGCATCATAATTTTTACCATCTGCCAGATACGGTCCAAGAATGTCAACATTAAAATTTATCCCTCTGAAGCGACGATCATAAGTGGTTTGACCAGGGGACGGCCTTTGTAAACACCATATGATCGTCTCTGAAAGGTATATTTTGAACTTTTCTGAATATAAATGTAAGTGCCATGTATCAACAGGATAGCTGTGTCATTACTGCCAGATGCTAGAAGCTCTCTTGCAAAAACTGTTGTATGGTTTTTGATAATATCTTCTCTACAGATATTCCAAAAGCCTAGATATTTTGGGACAAAATAAGTCACCAAAGCCTTCCTTGCTCTTTTGATTATTCTGCTTAAATATCGTTCACTTTTTATATTGAATAATGTTCGCAAAATGCTAGACAGCCCGGTTCTGACATTTGTAAGCAAAATAGCAATGGCGGTTCTACCTGAGATTGTTCAGTTGCTGTACTAGTTCATTGGAAGTTATGATCTTTGTGACTGGTTTAAACCTAAAAGAGTATTTTAAAAGTTCTGTCATTTTTAAATCTAGATTTGTCCGCAAAATGGCAAGTTCAGGCACGTACATCATCATGAAACATTACATTATGTGTCACAAAAACGTATGTACGTACTGCTTGTGGAATTCTTTTTAAGATTTGTCTTTTATGCCACATATTGCACAATATTTACATGATTTTGTTCCTGAATAAAAGGTCGACACTTGGACATTAGTTTCAGTTATAACATTCTTGTTCAATAAATTCCCCTTCCAAAAACGTTTATGACACTTTCCACAAATGCAATCATTATCCGTGTCTTAACTACCCAACACAATTGATAAGTCTTTCCTTTATGTAGCATATTTCACCCTCTTGAAAACTGTGCGACAGCAGCTCTCTTTTTGCAGACTATGCAATCATATGACTGAACGTCATGATTTAAAATTAGTTTAAAACAAAATTAGGGATTGTATTTATATGATATTTTCAGACTTATACTCACCAAACTCAAAAATATAGCCCATACAAAGCTACCTAATCC